CTCATTCTGCACGTCTGTAAACTAAACAGCTCATCTGTTTGCCCGTCTCTCCATTTGTCTACTTGTCTACAATGACTTCCATTAAACACTGCATGAAATACAGCTTTTTCATTGGTGCTCAAAATAACGCTCATCTGTCAGGTTTTCAGGAGCTTTTATTAATTTCACTTGAGGGCAGGTTAAGGGGAAAGTGCGGTTGTTGGAGATGACAACAAGGGGTTTCAAAAAAACGAGACAAGGACTCGTGGCATGAAGTAGAGGCATTGTGATCACCAACCTTCGCTCAGTCAATCCCTGTAATAAGCACACCTTCAGGTACCAGTTTCAAAATCAGATAAGAAGTTTAAACTGGACTGTCTTTTGGCCTGTGTTTCTGTACTTGACAGTGACATTTGCTAAACAGTAAATGTGTTCAGCATCTCTGTGGTTTGTCACACAATACACAAAGGAAACTACTGATAGACAGAGGATGCCTCAGCCCAATGAATTAGAATTTCCTTCTCCATCTGTTTTTAATCAGCCTCTCTTTTACCCCTTTTCCCTTTTAATAAAAAGCTGTTTTTCTTTGGGTGTTAAAGATTTCCGTAGAGAACACTAGTGACAAAATATGTGTCCTACAGACAAACTGCTCCAAAATTAAAAGATGGATTAGTGGAGATGAGTGCAAAATGTCTCTGCTGCACCAGATTTCAAATATTAATCTGGGTTCTCCTCACTCTGGGACCTGATCCAGAGCCAGAAACCTGATCCAAAAGCCAGAATCTACCCAGTCCAACCTGTGTTTACTGAATAAGATCAAAGGTTTTGCTCAGTCTTTGTGACTCAAACAAGCTGGCAAGGTGAGAGATGCAAGATACATTTGATTTGCTGTGACAGCGCAAAGGATGATTCATTGATGATGTTCTTGAAGTGCAAGAGCCCACAGAGGTACATCACATCTCCTCAGTTTGTGTCCAACAACATCAAAGCCTTTCCTCCTCACAGGGATGCCTCAACTGTGAATTAATTTAGCGACAAGGGGAAAAGGAAAGGTTCTCTCACAATAAAATTCACTGAAGCGTAATGTGAAAACAAGGTGCCATACTAGAAACGGGGTCAAACTGTGCTGCAAAACACAGATTTCATTGATTGTGTTTTTGCTTGCAACCGAAGTTACTTTGAATTTTAAAGGGAATTGGGAAACTTTAGGAACTGAGAAGTCGTGGTGAGAGTACATTTGCTTAAAGGTTGTTCGCCACCAACAAAACAAAAAATGTTTTTTTATTAATGTCTCTTAAAAAACACAAATGGATCCACTGTGCACTGACGAATGGACAGTCAAAATACATTTGTGGAGAGATAATATTAGCATACTTTGCAACACCTACATGTGAGACATGTTCATAAGGTTTTCCTGTGTTGGTGTGCCAGGTTGTGGTTGCTCAGTTGTACTTGGTGCCATTTTAATTTTATCCAGACTGATGGTGCCTCCAAATGGAGCCATTATTACAGTGCTATATGTCCAAATGAATGTCCAACTGGGTATTCATTCATTTCAAATAAGATGAACCAGAGATTTTCTGATAGCGCTTAAGTTAATATTTTCTGATGTTTCTAAATTGGCAGAGCCCTACTCTTTTCTTATTCCTCAGCATGGTTCACAAATTTTCAATACACAATGAAGTGAACTCTTGCAGTGTACACTTGAATGACAGGCACATCCCATACTCAACTATCCATATCAAAAACAGTTCAGCAAGTTCCATTTCGAGCCAGCATGATCTCTAAGGTTTATATGTGAGGCAGGGCCTTTATTATTTGCAGCCAGGTGGTATATTGTAATGACACCGGTTACAGCAGAGTAGTCAAACAACAGCCTAATTAAAATCAACCATCGAAGCAAATCACTGCCAGGATGTTGTTGCCTATAATAAGGTGTCACTGACCATAACCCAGTGCTTGATGATAGACAGATTGTGTACACAAAAGGTCAGTACATGCATTATTAGGAAAAGACTCAAATCAATAAGGATTTAAATGAGATTAGTAGTTAGTAAAGGTAGATTGTCTTTGCTTTGGTGGAACAAATCAATCCGTGCTTTACATGTTATTCTTGCAAAGGCAATTTCGGTAAAAGCTACTTTTATTAGACATATTTAATCAGGACTTTGCCCATTTAAAGTATATTCTAGATAGGATTGATTGAATCTGATGACGTTTAAATTTTCTGACTGTAGAGGGGGAATTATGGCCACACTATTTCATTGCCACAGCACTATAATTATGACTTGCAGAAAACCACTTTCTTTACCACATATATTTTAAACAATTCAACAATTCCTACAGTATAACATTGAACTTCTCATTTATGCAAGGGAAAGGGAAAAACACTTTAGTTGAACTGCTCACAACTCATTAGATATTAGAGACAAGGAGTCGCATGGAAGTTGCTTCATTTTAGAGGAAATGAGCCAAAACAGTTGGGTACCAGTGGTTTTAAATATTCAAAAGGATAATCCCAATTAACGAATATTAAGAACAAATTTGAACATTTCTTCGCAAGAAACATTAAAGTTGTAAACGCACAAATCTAAGGTTATTTTTAGGACACCTTCAAGGCTCAATTACAATCAAATCCAGCTTTCATGCAGAAGCACAGAGTGTATTTTGGTTGGAATTCTGTATGTGAACAGAGAAACTGGTAATGCTGCCAAGCGTAGTAATCTGTCTAAATTCAACGGGCACAGTTTATTGACTGAAGGAGAACTAGATTTTTGATTAAAACAATTCAAAGTGCAATAAGAGAGTGCAAAACAGGAAGAGAAAAACAGCCACATTCACTTTGCCAAGTCCCCATTTTACAAATGAACAGATTCCAAGAGCATGCATAATTTTTAAGCAAACTGCCCTAACAAAATATAATTTGCAATTAATTGTATTAAAGCAGGGAAAGGATTGGGGTTACAGGTTAAGTTAAATTCATTTAAGTATTGCCTTTTCAAAGACAAAAAAGCCCTGTCTATCTAAGGGCAAGCAGGTCATTTTAAACACCCTGAGTTAATCTAATTCTACAAAATGTAATCTGTGTGAACTTTCTGCTTTGTTAAATTTGATTTTGATTTGCCCTTTGCTACATAAGTAAGCAATTGGGAAAATGAGGTTGTATAACTCAAAAGTTATGGAGGCATAAAACAATTTAAAAGCATTAGTTTGTTTACAGTGTTCAGGGTAAACCAATTAAACATTTAATTTAATCATCTACATTTCATGGATTTAGCTTTACTTTCTTATCCAAAGCAGCATGCAACAGGTGAGCTGGTAGGTGTCTAATTCAAGGATGTCACTCCACCGACCATGTCAACAGCTGCATACAGTAGGGATGAACCAGGCTGCAACAAGTAATTTTTTTTTTTATTCTAACATAATTTACTTTACATCTTTATGCCATAAAAACATTTATTTCTGTTACCAACAGTGTATAATTGTCTATAACTTCAGAAAAAGTCCATTCCAGCAACACTTGTGGTAAATAGATCAACTTTACTGTTAGACCAACGCATTTCAGCTTGTGGAACACATTACAAACAACATTTAAATACAGTAGACATGAAGCAGGTTGTATACTAGAAAACAATGAAATTCAACGATATTTCAATGAAACAGTCACCAGTTATATATTTTTTGATTCATCAGTAACAACCTGTGTATTTCCTGGAAGGCCAAATCAGATCTGCCGTGAGAAACGTCTATTTTTATTATGCATTCTTCAAAGACTCAATGCTGATGCTTGCTTTAACAAGTGCCTGTCCTATTTGTTCATACAAAAACCTATACGAAAATTCCACCTGTTCAACTCAAGACTTAGTTACTTACTTTTTTAATAGTGGAATATCCTACCTTTTAGACCATTACTGTACTGTCTTCTTCTACTATTATTTTGTCTTTTTTGGTTTTGTACAATTTTGGCAATTGTACAAACCATATCAATAAACTATTTGTTCATCCATTCTGCACTTTTTTGTTGTTTCTTGACAGCTGCTGGCTTTTACGTGCTGCAATGCCAATAGATTTGGTTTAGTACAGTACAAGCTTTTACTTGGCATGTTATTACTAAGCTGTGTTTTACTCATGTACTCATGGGACAATGGATGTTTCTGGTTTATATGTAAAGAACAGCAGCTTGTCAATTTCCTGATTCTAAATATGCAAAAACATTTTATTATCAATTAGATTTTTTAAACTGACAACCAACCAGAACTGTATTTTCAGTGATTAGCAAACGTTTGCTACAGTGCATCCCCCAACGTTACAACTTAACCCCTGAATTAACATGAGGTTGTAAAATTACGAAAATCATTCCAAAAAACTATTTTTACAATAACACAAAAGAATATCAACTTTGTACTTTAGGAAAGTAGACATGTTGGAGAACAAGCTCTACCCACAGAAATTGTTAACCATTAGACCTTCGATTGGCATGTGTGTATTCTTAAATACTGAAAAAACAGATACTATGTCTGCATAGGAGGTTTATATCAAGGCACAACAAGGGACGTCTCTCAGCTAATTTTTAATCACGACTAATACTATGATAACTGCAATAAGAACACAAATAACATACCTATTCGTATTCATTCAGCTGCTTGTTACATAAACTATGTGATAATGCAGGAGCCGACTGTTTCAGCCTCTACATAACATAATGTTCTAAACTATATAAACACATATCTCAGACATCAAGTGTATATAATCATATTCTTTCACTTTCTGTCTTATGCGGTGTTGGCAATTTCCAGTAACTTCAGAAACCAGAAAGACGAGCGGAGAGAGAGAGAGAGAGAGAGAGAGAGAGAGAGAGAGAGAGAGAGAGAGAAAGAGAGAGCGAGAGACTCAAGGTGTAAAAGGGAGGAGAAAAAGGGAAGTTAAGAGTCTCGAGTGAGAATGCAAGTGGGCGGAACATACAGAAAGCAGAAAAACAGGAACAAGGTGATAACATATGCCAAAGTACACCTGCACACCTGAGTAATGCCACTCCTTTCCCAGGGCACAGCAGGGATGGTTGAGGAGTGGAAGCAGGGAAACTCAATGAAACCCAATAACATTTTAATGTTTTACAGCCCTTTCAACATTGACTCTGGTTTTGTTCGGAAGGATTTCAGAGATTAGACAGTGTTGTTTTTTTTTTGTGGTGTGTTAAACTTTGCTTTTTGTTCAGATTTCACAACCTGGCGGCAGCAACTCAACTTCCCATTAGGACTTATTTTTAGGACTTAAGACGTATTTTTGGTGACCCACATATCCAATGAAGATGTGGTCTATGAAGGTCATCATCCTCCTCCTGTTCTGCTACGGTGAGTACAAGGGAGCTAACATGGATCTCTGTTTTGTTGATAACAGGCAGTCAAACATTTATTGGACCATTTTTTCAACAAAGTAGTACTAATAGGAGAAATAAATAATAACACCAATACAATAAAGCCTCGTAATATATATTTGACAGAGAGTGATTCCTCCTCGTTTGAAATGGAGAGTCCTATAACACAAGTCGTTTTAAATGATAGTGATCGATGGGAAATGCTATTTCATTTTAGCATCTGGCTGATGTAATATTGACTATATCATTGTACAGCTTATAAAAATGCTAATTTTGAATGACCTACTCTGTGTGTAATTTTCAACCTCGTGTCTTTCACATTTTCAATAAACTACATGGGCTATAATATTAAACAGTAACATGCTATATGGTAAATCACTAAGGCGTATATGGATCGACAATAGGAAAATTTGGTCTGTGACTGTTCAAGCTATAAAATATACAAGACCATAATGCTCACACTAAAAGAACGTGTTCTGTATCCTTTTCCTGTATGAATACATGAAAGATGAAATCATTTTCTTGTATCAAAAATGTGAAATGACGCATAGTTTTTAGTTTCAGTCACCAGCAGAAACAAAGTCCATCTTACACAATCTTCCTGTGGTCTTGGATCCAGTGTATTTCTGCTGTGTTACTCAGGCCTTAGCAGCTATGCTATAAAAATTGAGTGCCCGTGCCTCTCTCTTCTTCATATAAGGGGGAGCTGTATTGAGTAAGGATGCTGGGGCTTGAACGGCTTTACAGCATGTGCTGTGATTTAAAAGTTGGGCCGCAACATAAAAAGAGATGTAATCTGAGTACTAAATGCTGTCAACAGCTTATGCTACAGTAGAGAATAGTGTCCTTACTTACTTGCAATTTAACACAAAGTAGCAAAATATTAAAAAAAGCAGATATACTATATTCTAAAAGTAATATTACATTAGGTTAGTGATTAAATTTATTTACACAGACTTTTGTCTTTTGCCCAACAGCTTCTCTTTCAACTGGCAACAGGAAAGTGTATTTTGTCTCCAAGAACTTTAACAACGTACTCCACTGGGACGCTGTGGAGTCTGGGGCAAATGTCACCTATAGCGTCCAGTACTTGAGGTAAGACCCACATGAGTGATTATAATGACACCTTTACTTCTATTGCACACCTTTGTGTCTTTATGTACAGATACATATGGAGAGGTGGGTCGAAGCAGAAAAAGTGTGTGTGCAGGGTTTAACAATCATAATGTCAGTGTATGTAAATTGGTAACAAAGGGGCGGCAGTAGCTCAGTCTGTAGGGACTTGGCTTGGGAAAATATGGAGTGTGGACTGGTA